TAGACCAGGCTGCTCAGAGCCCCATCCAACTTGGCTTTTCAAGCTGCAACAAAGACAACTTGAAATTAGCAGATCCTCAGTAGTCCAGAAGATCCTTTCTGAGGATCCTCCAACACCTGCTGAGGTGTTGGGGGTCTTTCTCACTTGTCCCAGGTGGTGCCTGAGCAAGAACCTTGAGCTTTTTTAAGTGTCACATCTAGGTAGAGAGAAGCATCACTTTGCAGTATTTCTGGCCTTATTTTCAAGACAAGTCACTGAAGCCTTAAACAGAGGAAATCTTAGTTATGTCTAAGACCCATTTTTCTGTTAGATCATGGATAGTTTAAATTCCCTTTACAGCCATTTACAAAATAGAATAATTGAAGTGATCTGCTGCCTGTTCCATCTGCCTTTCTTTAGGTATGTTGTGAAAGTAATGGCTGAAAAGGACAGCACATTTAGTGCGATTTTAAACATTTCCTTTGTGCTTTAACTGCACAGTTGCATTCAGTGTATTGTAACTGCATGTCATGTGCACACGCTGCTAGAATTCCATGCCGTTTTTCAAGGCATTAATGTTGCAAGATGGAGTATTGTTAGCCAAGAATCATTTTTTTGTAGTCTGATAGCATTCAGAAAGGAATAACAAAAGAGGAATTGGTGTGGGGTATGTCCTGGTGAATTATTTTAGTCGTCTTCTGACTGTACCCCCTTCCCTCCCTTTCCTATCCCTGTTAGATGTTAACCCCTTATTCCCTGCCTCCCCTCCCCCAAGTCAGTCACTAGGGTAATTTTACAGTTTTTTCTCTCAACAGATAACAGTCTGGGGTTACACATATTTTTCTCTACTTGTCATATGTATTGGATTATCATCTAAATTGTATTATAAAACAGCTCCAAGAAGCAAGCAGTTGTGTTTGCTCTACCTAGTGCTGCTTAACCCATCTGAGTTGTTACTGTGGAAAACGTATTTGCAAGGCAAGGGTATTGTTGTTTTAAAAAGTTTAGGGCTGGGGTGTGCTTCCTGAGTAGGAGTATCTGATTGCTGGAAGAAGGAAAAAAGGCTAAAGACTAGGTGGTATTATTTGGTTGTGAAATTGAGGGCTTCTAATCAATTTCAGTCATCAGCTTTTTGCAATTAATACAGCATATTTTATGTCGGAATCTGTACTCTTCTGCTTCTTCATGTTTCCTTTAATATGTATAGTTTTATGCAATCACAAATTCATAGTGAAGAAGAATTTAGGAGGTTTTCTTAACCTTGCTATATGCTCTTCTTTCTTCATTAGTGTGTATTATTGTTACAGTTTTTGTGAGAGTATTGAAAGATAATGCTAGACAAGTTCCTCAAGGTGTTCCTCTATTAAGATGTTCATCTTTTTTATATAAAAAAATCACCCTGATTCACCTTCCTGTCAGTGCTATAGAGAAGAAAGGATTTCCCGTTAGGATAATTGCCATCTCTTTATATTTTTGAGCCTGAAGCTAGCTAGCAAATCATGGAAGCCTACTGTGAGAAAGACAATCCTATTTTAACAAATCCGTCTTACTTTTGTTCTTTCTAAGTGCTGATATTATAATTGCACATTTAAGGGCTTTTTGTGTTTTATTCATCTCACGGTAGAATTTACATATAAACTTGTGTTTAAGCTAACATACATTCTTTCCGTGGTGCTTAGGAAGAGAAGAGATACTTGTTATGGTTGCACTAATCTGGAGTTTCTGAGAGCAGAGTGGAAGAATTGGTCAGTTTTCATGGCAGGAGTCAGTCTTGTGTATTGTTCTGTACATGTACGTAGGTGGAGATGTGAATGTGTGAGCTCCCATGTGCACATCGGCTCTCGCCTTTCGTGATGTTGTAACATAAGTACATGCAGCAGAGAGGAGCAAAGGGCTGAAACGCTCGGGAAGAAAGGGTTAATGCCATACCTTGGTGCCTGGGGATGATGCCATGCTGTCATTTGTGAGCTGTGAGGTGGCTGACCACTTCCATTTTGGGATAAATCCCTTGAAAAGGGAAGGCATTTTCAGAGCGAGGTGTGATCTGTTCTCCTGGTAAGAGTGATTGACAAGGAATGAATTAATAGTTAAAAGAACTGAATAAATATCACCCTTCTCTGTAATTCCAGGCACACCCTGGCTGGCACATATATGCTCAATGTGACACTTCATCCAAATGCCTGAATTGATTGGTAACAAAAAACGTCCCCAAAAAAACAAATAAGAGTTTAATCATAACTGCTTCTGATAGAGTTTCTTTTACAGTGACATTTCAGTGAAAATTTAAATAGATGCAAGGAATTACAATATTTTGCAAATAGGATGTATTGATTGAGTATATGTGCAAAGGGTGAGAGAGGCTGCTTGAGTGGAAGCAGGGGCCCTGACAGCAGGTTCTTTGCCAACTGGTGAGGTGAAATGGTCCACTGAATTGGATAACACAGAGCATACCATAGTGACTGATTAAATTGATTTGTCTGTGGCTACTGCCTATCCTGCTACTGAGGCCCTTTACCCTACTTCAAACTTTTTTCTTTTTTTTGGACTGTTCCAAACAGATGTGATATTAAGGGAGAAAATAAATGTGCTGATGCATTCACAGCCATAAAATTCCATATTCTGAATTAAGACAAAAAACACAACTTCCAGAATGTCTGCACACTCCTGTGCTATACTATGTTATAATGCATTTATCCCAGGAACAAGTACACTGCTAGAAACTGATAAAAAAGGTAACAATAAATATCATTCTCTAATATAACCTAAATTACAATCAGTACCATATCCGTGAATCCTTATATGTATTTATTGGAAGAGGAGAAAGTAAAACACTTAAAGATTTTTACTTGCTGCTGTTGTTTCATTTCTCTGATTGCTAGGCTTATTTCCTTACTACTTTTTTCAGAAGGTGTTTAAAAAGCTTGTGGTGGAAACACAGCTGAATGCCAGTTAGGAAGGCTGAATGCTGAACATACTGCCAAGTGAGAGTCACTAATTTGAAAATACTTACAATGATTTGGCAAAAAGTAGTCAGAGGGATAATGTTTAATAACTTGAAAATTATTTTTTTAACCACAGGAGAAAAAACTTGATGCTTTGGTCTTAGATCAGGATGTTTAGATTTTACAATGTACTTAGTATGTCATTTCCCTTCCTGTGCTAGGGAAATCAATACTAAGTGATAATGGGGCTGGTACATGTTATTTTCTTTGTGATTCAAGGGAAGCTTTGTTAGACTGTGTTTGTCTTCGTGGGTTAGTCTGTAGTATATGCAGACAGAGTAGTGTAAGCATAGTCTTCAAATTCCACTGAAAAATCACATCAAACTTCAGTGCAGTGGTGACATCAAAATGGAACCTAAAATATGTTATTGCAGTTGTTGTAGAAGTGCAGAGTTCGTTGTACTGGGCTTGGTTTCTTCTTACTCATTTTTAAGGAAGATACAACAATAAATCACAATCATTTCTGAAAGGACAATGAAGTTCTGTTCATTATTTAACTTCTTTAAGTTATTGGTCAGTCTTGTAGGACATGATGGCATGCAGCATGCCATGAACAACTTGTGCTGTTTTTTCATTTGTCTGTAGAAATGAAGATATGGTTGGTATCTTGCTACTAGTGATGAAGAGATGAGAAGTGGGAGGTGCCAGGGATTGGTTCTTGGAGTGGAATTACGAATGTTGATATTTGCAGTTTTTTTTAAAAATTCCACAGGTTTTATCAATAGCATTTCTTTTGCAAGGTAAAGCAAATTCAGTAGGTGAGACTCCGGCTGTACATAAGCTTTGCTTAGATTAACCTTCTTGATACTGTATACACTAGTAGGGACTACTAAATACTAGGTGAAACAGTCAAATGACGCTTTGTTACTTTTCAGGAATCTGAAAATTGTTACATATCTTTATTTGGGCTGGATCCAGAGCACATTGCAGTATTTTGTTCATAGTTATAGTTACAGTCTTTTTTTTTTAATCTTTAAGTTGATTGCACAGACGTAAGTATTTGTGAAATAATTGGTTTTAACTAGTTGGTGGTTAAGGGAAACAAACCAAAAATATATAGGTTTTGTTCTTTCCAGTAATGTTTGATTTTTAGAAATGAAATGTCTGTGTATTCAGCGCAAGTTTTATAAAACAAAGAAACAGAAACCATACAAAAGCAGCCAAAGTTGAAAACTCAGTGGTGCACATAAGGTCACCATGCCAAAGGCGTGTAATTATTTCTTTGTATCGTATGCTGGAATAATGTAATCCAATAACTGGTGTTCCTGGTGTGTGTTACAAAGGATTCAGTAAGGAATTGCTGGAGAGTTCTTCAGGACTCCCCTGGCTAACAAGGTCAAAGAGAAGAGGTTTTGTGGGCTTCAGCCGTTTCTGAGAAGTGTGGGAGAAGCCGTGTCCGTGCGGCTGGAGGGGCCTCTCGGCACCCTCGGCTCCCGCACCGCGGCCACAGCACGTGGCTGGGAGTTCTGAGAGGAAACACAAACACAGACTCACGACACGACTCTTGCCGGGGTTTACTGAGTTTATTTTGAATCCAACCCCTAAGTGCCATTACAGACCCTCAGTCCCCACTGGCCCGGAGCCTTGGCCCACCGTGCCTGGGAGAGGAGCGGAGGTGCCGGGCCCTGGGACAGTACCAGAGCCTGGGAGAGAGCCGGGCCCTGGGCAGCGCCAGAGCCTGGGACAGAGCCGGGCCACGGGACAGAGCCCAACCCTGGGACAGAGGCGGGCCCTGGGACGGAGCCGGTCCTGGCTCGTGGCGGGCACCGCGCCCCTCCTCCGGCCTGCGTTCCCCTGGCTGCGAGCACCGCGTCCCTCGGGCCCTGGTTCCGGGAGCGGCCGAGCCGGAGCATCCCCGCTCGGGACAGCGGGACGCGGGTGCCGGGTCTCGCAGGGACACCGGTGCGGCGATGGCTGGAGATCTGGTGCCCTCTAGTGGGGCCGGGCCCGGGCCCGCGAGAAACCTTCCCGCTGGACGCTGCGTTGCATAACTCCATCTCTGTCTCTGTTTGGTTTCAGATGCTACAACTGTGGCGGCCTCGACCACCACGCTAAAGAATGTAGTCTACCTCCGCAGCCAAAGAAGTGCCATTACTGTCAGAGCATCATGCACATGGTGGCAAACTGCCCCCATAAAACTGTCTCGCAGCAGCCCGCTAGTTCTCAGGGAAGACACGAAGCCGAACCGCAGCCTTCCACTTCTGCCTTCCTGAGAGAAGGGGGAGGAACGCACGGCTTCTCGTCTCCACCGTACTCTCAGGAAGGCAGGTCGGAGATCTCGGAGCGCTCGGGCAGGTCACCGCAGGAAGTGTCGTCGAGTAAGTTGTCTGTGTCGCCTGAAGAACCAAACAGAAAGGGGCCTTCCGTTCAGAAAAGGAAAAAAACTTAATGCATTTTTCATAATGTTCCGTTTTCTTTACCCTCTTGGGATGTCTACCTCATGCAAGTACAGGGGAAATAATTCATTATCAGTAGCTGACCTGGAATTTTAACTACTGTTGAGGAACTGTGAATGTTTTGTTGTTGTTTTGTTTTTTTTTTCCCTTGATAGACAAATCACTCCAAACAAAATACATTTGAGCAGGGTGCATTATGTTTTACTTTCTGTGTGTATGTGTGAGTGTGCATGCGTGTGTGTGTATGTGTTCATGTCTATAAATATATATGTTTCCATCAGACAATTCTCCAGATCCCACCAGACATTACTGTGAAGCAAAAGTCACAGTACCCAATGTTCCTGAACTCATTTCTAGAACCTGTTTCCAAACGTGTTCAGAAAGCAAACAAGAAAACCCAATTTTCTGCAATTTCACTCAGAAACAAACCAAACCCGATAAACCACACAAAGAACTGAGATCAAGACTGTTACGTCTCTTGTGAACCAAAGGATACTTTCATATTTTAAAGCTGCCATATGGTACTAAAGATACTAAGACATCCCCGTACCATCCATTTGAATTAGTTCCTTTTTCATCTCCACAAAGTATCAAAACCCCTCCCCGTGCCAGTGCAGGGCAGTTTCATGACTCAAGATGACTCTCATTGCCACCACCCTTTGTTGGTGAGGAGTTTAAAGCTCCAGAAAAGACAATGAATGTGTAGTTTCTGTAATGGTTTCTCAAAACGTTTTGTTAAATTAATATGATTGTAACTGTAATTTAGGTGTCTGTTGTGTAGGGGAGAATGTGTATGTAAGTTGTTACCAAACAGACCCTTTTGAGTGGTGTCAGGATGCCATCCTGTCAGCCATTTGTATACTGTGAACATTTAGGGTACCTTGGTAGCAGTAGTAGCCGCAGCAGCAGCAATTTCTCTTGGTCCTAAGTAGTGTCCCTCAATTTGAAGGGTCTTCCCCCTTATTTCCTGTTGAAATTTCCTGTTGAGAGAACTCCCTAGGGATTTTTATTGTTGTTGTCTGTTTGGGTTTTAAAGAAAACAAAATGCAAAGCTAATGAGATCCTGGGCTGAATAGTTTCCTGAGACTAAAGGTTGCTGGGCACTTGGGATTGCTCAGCTGGCCTCCCTAGATGATGACACAGCATGGGTGCAGACCAGCCTGAGTGAAGGGACCTGCAGATTTGCCAGAAACCCTGGGTATCACCTACTTGTGAACTGGGAGCTGCAGCTGACCAGCCTTGGTCCAGAGTGCCCTAGGACCACACACTTCTGTGTGAAAGAGGAGGAAGATTGGTGGCCTCAGAGTGAGACTCCCTGGGCTGCAGGCCTTGCTCGGGGTTAATAGAGTTGGAGCCTATCAAAACTTCAAGTCGCTTTCCATTTGTAACTTTTGAATTACCAAGTCATACGTAAGATAACGTACTCTGACAAATCCCATTGTGGATGTAAGTTAATTAGAGAAACCTGTATAATCCTTAACATTGGCAATAAACACAGGCTGTTAAAGCTTGAAAGTGTCGGGTAGGTTTAAGCTCGGATAATCAAACTAAAGAAACGGCCTGCATGAAAGGCTACAGCGAGCCAAAGTCCTACGGTGGTAACTCCTCTGCAGCCGATGGTTACAACAGGTATGCAGCTGGCTCAGTGCGTGGCCTTTCCCCTTCCCACTTGTCCTGCCAGATGAGACTTTTACTGGTGCTGCTGCTGCTTCAGTGAACAGGTAGTCATCAAACTCCTCAGTGAAGGGCACAATTTCAAGAGAATTATTTTGTGTGAATTCCTTGCCAGTGTTTGCAAGAATCTCAAGGTTTGTACTGAAGTTCTCAGTAATGCTAATGCAAAGCTTACCTTTGACGATATTGAATGTGATATATCTATAGAGAACGTCCTTGCCTTACGTAAGGATAGTAAACTTATTTAAATTATGTAGACAAATCAAAGTGGCATTGCTTAACCTTCTAGCCGGTGTAAAAACCAGGTTAAACAGCAAAGATGCAAAACTTAGGTCACTTTGAAAATTTAAACCAAAGTTCCTTATAGAAATAGGCAACTGTGGATTTGAAAACTGGTCATTCCCTGTTTATATGTAAGAAGTTCAGAGCTGAGATAAGGAAATGTTTTCAACACATGGATTTGTATTGGTGCTGTTTGAAATCACTGTGTGCACCAAAGTCAGACTGAACTGCTAAGAGCACATACCAAACCCTATCTTATTGTTGAAAGCTTAAGGTTTTATTTTTATATATTAGAATGTTATCACTGTTACATAACATACTCAGGACAAAGAACTTTGCTCAGGGAATATACCATGTAATGTTTTTTCTTTACAGAATAGTCTACAGACCTGCTTACTCAGAACAAACCAAATAGTCTTAGACCTTTTTGTCTCTGTATAAGTATTATGTACTGATATTAGTAACTACCTCTGAGTTGACGTAGACCTACGTTTCTGATAATCAGATCTCAGCGTTTTGTATTATAAGTTCCTGTGAAATGATGAAGTGGTATTATGTACTGGTTGCTTATGTGAGCATTTGTGTCTTTACATTCACAGGGTCTGAGTTTTCAGAGATGCTGGGCAACCACAGCTCCCACTGACTTCCAGTCGGAGTTAGTGGTGCTTGGCTTTTCTAGGAGGGGAGGGATGGGGGATGGGGGGTTGAGGGGGAAGAATAAAAACACAAAAGCATCAAGCCCACTTTGTTTACATAGGTGACAATAAAATTATTCTGTTTACAGCAAAAGGCTACCTCATATCTACTGCATGAACACACCTTTGTGCTGCTGTGGCCTTAAAGGTGGCTGTTGATCTATGGTACATACTTTTTATCTCTACTAAATATGTGACTGTTAGTTCACCACTGCAGACATTATGGTAAATACTTCTTTAAGATGAAGCATCCATTTGAAATTATGAGACCTTTCCAAACCTTTCTTTGAAAGTTTTTATTTTTCTGTCCAAAGGATTATGGGCACTGTTCACGCGAATAAATACAGCTCCAGAAGAGACAAAAGCGTACATGCCTAAGTTAAACATATAGCAGCATAAGCTGCAGCAGGTAACTACTTAGCACTGGGCTGAAGTAGGAAAAAAAAATCTAGTTATACTCCTTCAGTTGGCTGCTGCAAATAAGCAAAGAACCTTTTAAAGGAGGAGGCACAGACTGAGTTTGGGATTCTTCCTTCATGCCTAAGGACAAAATTAATATTCGGCAGCATTCTTCAGGCTAGATTTCCCCCTATTCACCAGCCTGTCCTTGCCAGAGCGCTCCACAATAAAACTCGTTTGAGTAGAAATAGTTCAAATATCTGCTCAGACAGATGTATTTTTCTCCTAACAATAGTAGAGATAAGGTTAAACCTGAAGAAAGAATCTCCCTCCCTCCCCTTCCCCTGCCCCAAAATGCTCAATGTGATTTAATTGTAAGGGACATTGTGAGATATTTTTTGCTCTTCCCCAAGGAGAGGTCACGATATTTAATTACACGCTACAAAAGATAGGCCATGAGGAAGACTTGTATTTGGAGGAAGAGCCAAATAACTTTTTGCTGCAGTTAATGGTAAATCTGGCATTGTAATACCATCTGCAATATTTTGCCTTTAGCCAGCTTTCAGGGAGTGCCAAACACCACATTTGGATCCTACCTCTTCCCATTGCAGGCCACCTTTTTCAGCCATTCTATTCTGCACCAGTGTTATCCTGGAGTTCCTGCTAACTTAGTTTTGTTAATAGAACCCCATTTAAAAAAAGTGCTTATAGATCTTGTACCATTCTTTGTAAGAAGAATTATAAAAGAACATGGGAAATCACATGGAGTCTTAAATTTAATTTAATTAATTTATCTGTAAGAAATGTTTATCGTAAAAAATATATATGTATTCCCCTGTGCTAGATATAAAAGTAATTGGGAAGATGTGTACATGTGCAGATGCACTGATTTTAATTTCCTAGAAGTCTTAATGAGATTTGAGTATTGTTTTAGAAAAAAGCAGAGCCTTGTTAAATGCATCGATCTTATTTTGCTTAGTTTTATCAACAGCCTCTTTAAGATCCGGTGGTTGTGTTAGCCCTGTTACAACTGTTGACTGATAACAAGAGGTTGATCTATGAACACACGCTTCTTTTTTTTTGTATAAACCAGAGCTGTGTATCAGCAGCTGTGGCAGTATTTTTCTGAGAATGTTGAAAAGTAGCAAGGTATTTGCTACCATTGTCATTGAACCAAATGTATAAATATCTTTACAAACGGTATTTTTCTGAGAATGTTGAAAAGTAGCAAGGTATTTGCTACCAGTCATTGAACCAAATGTATGAATATCTTTACAAACAGCAATGGTTTTGACTACCTCTTGGATTACTAAGTTAAGCAACAACTGTCTGGTAAACATCACCAGACTGGCTTTAACTAGTATGTGTTGCTTGTGATAATAATAACAATAACCATACTAGAGACCAAAGTGAACACTGATTTCTATATGTCTTTAATACTGTGTCTTATCTAGTGTTTTTAAATTATCTTCTGTAGTATAGATTACCTCATTGTCCATTTTGACTTGTATGTTGTTTACAAGGTGAAATAAAAGAAAAATCACTTGAATTTTATGTTGTAAGAAAAAAGCCTTGAGTTGAAGTTTTGAAGGTCATTTCACCTGTTTACTGTCTTGAGGGACTAAAGCACTGATTGCCTTTCTACATATCATGTATTTTATATCCTCATTTCATGCCTAATGTGTTTTTTTTTTCCTGTCTGTCATGGATATTGTGAGGTTTAAAAGAATTACTTGATTAAAAATAAAACATATAACATTGGCATTTACAGTGAGCCTTTGAGATTTGCTTTATTTGCATGGTAAAAATACACTGCATGTCACTGGTGAGTTTTCTTTTGCACCTATGCTCACTTAGTTTTGGGATGTTACCTTCAGAAAAAAATAATTTTAGTTATATAAGTCATTGTTGGGGGGGGAGAAAGAAATAAATTATTAATTCATACCTGAATCATACTTGCAGTGCTGCAGAAATTGTACCCCAAAACCTATTCAGCTATTGAAATTAAACTGCAGGATTATAGCTTTTGGTACTTATTCTCTGTGAGAATACACTGGACATTAAAGCTATCAGACATTTAGACATTTAGGTTATTATCTTGCCTGAAAAGCTTTTGGTATTTAAGCCTCATCCCATCTTTTTTACTACTTCCATAATCTGTAGGCTTGTATGTGTCTATTTCATGGCAATTTAAACTGAATTGAAGAGGGGTTTCTTTTTAGAAAGGAAAGTGCTGTCATTTTTCATTACCTGGAAATTCCTTTTCTAAATTACATAAAGTGTTATTAGTGACTTGGATAGCATTAGCTTATCATTCTGTACTAAAATATTTGAGGATGTGTATATGCCAG